AGTTTAAACTCTGCCTTTTATAATTTGTATATATTTTACTTATTTATTCATTTCTTTTATTTTTTTTCTGCAATGGCTAGGACCTTTAAAACAATGTTAAATAAAAGTGGTGATAGTGAATGTCCCCATCAATAGGTCACTATTATGTTTTCTCTAGATTTTTTTAATAGATAACTTTGATTCAAATAACGTTCCCTTGTATCGTTTGATTAAAAAAAATCATAAACAGATATTACTTTTTATTAAATGTTTTTTTCATCACTTTTTCTCCCCTTTTTACAGTCAATGTGATATACTGTAGATACCTTCATTCCTAGAATAAACCCCACTTGGTTGTAATATACTTTTTTGCATATCTCTGAATTTGATTTACTATATTTTGTTCATGAGAAAGATTAGTCTATAATTTCCTTTCTTGTAATGTCCTTGTGAGTCTTTGGAATCAAAATTATGCTGGCCTCATTATATGAGTTGAGAAGAATTTCTTCTATTCTCTGGAAGAGTCATTTAATAAGAGTGGTATTTTTTTTTCTTAAATGTTTGAAGGAATTCCCTGGTGAAGTTACCTAGCTTGCAGTCTCTTTGTGAGAATGCTTTAATAACACATTCAATTTCTTATATAATTATTAATATTTTCTTTCTTCTTGAGTCAGTTTTATTTCAATAAGAAAATATTCCTTTATTTGTATTCACATAACATATAATTAACCATCTTAAAGTGTATAATTCAGTGTTATTTAGTGTAGTCACGATGTTGTGCAACCACTAGCTCTCTCTAGTTTCAAAACTTTTTCAACATCCCCTGCCAAAACACCTGGTCTCCTTAAGTAATCACTCCCTTTCCCCCCTCACCCCATTCCCTAGAAACCTCTAATCTGCTTCCTGTCTCTGGATTTGCCTATTATGAATATATTATATAAAAGAAATCATAAAATGTGACATTTTGTGTCATTTAGCATGTTTTTCAGTTTCACCCTAACTGGAGCATGTATCGATACTTCGTGACTTTTTATGACTAAATATATGCCATAATTTGTATATTCATTCATCTATTGATGGACATTTGGGTTGTAGTCACCTTTTGGCTATTATGAATAATGCTGCTATAAACATTCCTGTATAAGTTTCTGTGTAGACATCTCTCTCCATTTGCCTTGGATATACACTTAGGAGTAAAATTTCTGGATCATATGGTAATTCTATGTTTAACTTTTTGAGGAACAGCTGAACTCTTTTCCACAGTGGCTGCACCATTTTACATTTCCACCAGCAATGTATGTGTTCCTATTTCCCCACGTCCTTGCCAGTACTAATAATTTTCCATATTTTGATTAGTATCTTAGTAGGTGTAAAGTGGTATCTCATTGTGGTTTTAATCTGCATTTCCTTAATGACCAATAATGTTGAGCATCTTTTCATGGGCTTGTTGGCTATTTGTTTATCTTCTTTGTAGAAATTGCTATTTAAGTCCTTCACCTATTTTTAATTTAGTTGTCTTTTTGTTGTTGAGTTGTAAGAGTTTTTAAGATATATTCTGGATATTAAACCTTTATCAGATACATGATTTGCAAATATTTCTCTCCTATTCTGTAGGTTGTCTTTTCATTTTCTTGATAATGTTCTTTGATACACAA